GCGCTAGGGTCACGGCAGTGCCAACAAGCATGTCACGCAAATGAACGACCTTCATGCCTCTAATGGTCAAGTGACTCTTTTTGGTCAGGAAAGGCTTGCGCTTGCACTGTTTGTTTGAAGGCACAACAATTCCAACAACACCTCTGCTTTCAAGGCGCTCAACCATCTCCTCAACGGAAGCATTCACTTGACGAGGGTCAATGGATTCAAACATGGCCTCAATATCTGCGACGCAAACTTCCCAGGGCAACTTGACGGAATTGCAACGGCAACATTTGCGGCAATCACCGGGCACTGCAAGATGGGAGCACTGGTCAACCAACTCTGCAACAGCAAGCTTTAGGTTTGTCGCCGTAAACCCTGGACCTGTAAGTCTCACAGTTGCAAGCACAGCTCTGTTGCACAACCGAAGCCATCTTTTTGCAGGGCACCAAAACCAAGAGACGATTTTTCTGTAGCAACTGTGGGCAGGTTTTTGGCACACATGCCGGAAGGCCTCATAGCACTTGGCTTTAACAGAGCCATAGATGTAAGGAATGCCTGCTTTGGCCCACCTGCTCTTTGAAAACACAGGCATGCTGCAGTGTCGCGATGCCCATGTGAACAATGCACGCATACCTTCCAGAGCTGACTCGGGCGATATTGCCACGGGCTCCCAGTGCAGAGTATCCCTTTCGAGTAACATAAGCAAGCGGCATGCATAGCACTCAGCATGCTGACGCCACAAAGTAGAAGTATCTTTGTCTTCAACAACGATCGCTTCTCCTCGGGCGGGAGGGTACATGGGCGCAGTGTACTCCTCAAACGCGGTGCTTACAACCGGGCGAGGGGGAGCAGCAGACACAGCAAGCTGAAACAAGTCTTGCAACATGCTCGCACAAGGCAGGGGCTCATGACAGCTACCAAGCCAACGACCAAGGCTGTCAAGAAACTCGCGTGCCACAACCTCTGAGCTGCGCCAAGACGTGAGCTTCCAATATCTCTTGACACGCTGCATGTCAAAGCCTGACATGGCTTGGTGCTTTCGTTCATTCGGCCACTGTCGCAGAACTAAGATGTTGCAATCGCGTGTAACAGTCGATTGGTTCATCGCTTGCGAAGCAAACGTAGGCGCAGGGCCTTGGCAAAGCTTCACATGGCGACGCATCCACTCCCAACGCTGTTGGCCTCCATTGCGAACCACTTGAGCTTTAAACTGGCACAAAAGTGCTCTGGCCGCCGGCAAGCCAAGCTCAGGAGGGACTTTGAGGTATTGGACGCGGGCAGGGGGTTCTTTGGCAAACCTCAACCCAAACTGCAGGCGTCGTAAACCAAGAAGGCGTCGACCAACAGTGGGAACTTTAGCAATGGCGTCATGAAGCTTGAAGAGGCGGCAATTTCCGTCTTCATGTGCCAAGATGCGAGACCAATCAATCTTGGCAGGTCGGTAGCAAATCCAAGCAACAAGCAAGTGAAGCCAGCTGTTGTACACAGAAACTGGCCCAGGAGTATTTGTGTCACGCACATGAGCACTAAGACACAAGCTGTAAACATCTGGGAATGTTTTGACCAACAGCTCAGAAGCGATCAACTCACGAGCTTGTCTGTCAAGGCTACTATGTTGTCTTCGAACCTCTGCGAGACACATGCGGCAAGCGTTTGAATCTGCAGGGCCTGCAAGGACAGGCGTGACACGCTGGCCCTTGGGCGGGCGACGCCGGGGCTTCGACCCAGAAGACGCAGTGCTAGCACACGGTGTTCTGGCAATACGTCCCATGGTCGGGCCATGCCAGACAGTGTTTAGGCCGGGCTTCAAGCACGAGATGAGAACTTTTTCATGCGCGCGAGCCTGAAGGTCAGGCCCTGCGAAAACCACCAGGGCACCAAGGTCACAAGCAGACTCCTGTTGGAGGAACTGTGTCTTTTTGTTCGTTGGGGGCATGGACCGCTCATGGAAGTGCTCATTAGTTCTAGGTACAGGTGCACCCAACCTGCCAGAGGTGGCTTTTCGCTGGTGAGAAGAGTATCCCACGTAGAGCTCCTTCCTGCGACCACCAAGGATGTACACAACTGAATCAAGGCACGGCTGTTTTAAAGGCTCATCGACCTGCAGCTGCAAGAACGCGAAGAAAGGCACTGGACACTGTGCATCGTGATTCCAGCCATACATCACCATAGGCCTAACAGCCTCCGGAAGGAACTGCAAGCGTCTACGTGCAATGTCCTGTCTGCGACATCCTGCGTGTGCTTGCCAACTCGTCAACAGAAGCCAGCGACAAGCACCCACCATCCACGACCACAGCTCAATGCGTTTCCGGCCTTGAGCACGCATGGTCTTGCAAGCCGGCCGAAGCCAGTCATGAGCTCTCCTATTCAGCGCACCAAGGCCGCGTAAAAGCCCGAGTGACACAGAGCACGTAGACATAGCGGTCATAGCGGCGCCCCAAAGGAGCGTCATGGCAGCAGTATCTTGCGATGTCTGTACGCGACGCAAGCCACTGCAAAGCAAAGACGATGTCTTCAACATACGGTTTGTCACAGCACTATCGTGCGACAAGAAAAACACCTCGCAAACTCGCGCAGTCTCACTACACAAAGCGCTGCAAGCAGCAGAGACTGGTAATGACTCCCAAGCTGGCATGTTTTTCCACTGTGCGACACCTTTGCCTTGGAAGGCGAAGTACGCCCTGTCAGGGTGTGAGTTTTCACCAAGAGACATGAGGGCGACGATGCCAGGGGATGTGAGTCAACTGAACAGCAAATAAAAGCGGTAGTATGACAGTGGCCACCGTAAGCTCAAACGCAGACACGCGAGCCCGGTCACGGCCACCTGGCAAACTTGCTGAACTGAGAGCGGCACGCGAGAAGAATCTCAGAACAAAGCGGCCTTTTCTGAACACAAGCGGACGGATGCACCTGGTTTGCAGCGGTCCCGGGATGGACCTGAGCCTCGTTCAACGAGACCAGTAGCACTACTTGCGGCCTTTGCAGTAAGACCAGTAGAGTGACCACTCACACGTCAAAGTCAAAGTCTTCAGACTGTACTTGGACTCAACTTTCTCGAAAGTCAAAGTCTTCAGACGGTACTTGGAGTCTCTAAAAGGGGCCTTAAGCGTCTCTCCACTGCAACCAGAGCCTAAATGTAACGGTTTTACACAAGCGAGAGCCGATGGCTACACCACAGGCAATGCTTATCTAGGTCTCCTGTGCCACCACATCCGGATAGCAAACAGCACTACGTACCCGTCAACCGCCCAACTCATCGAGCGGAACACGGATTCAACTGAATTAGAACTGAATAACACGTCTGCACTGCCAGGTATTTCAGCAGAGAGCTTCGGTGCAGTAGCCGTAGCACCCAGCACGGATTCTACAACTGAAGCGTTCCTCATGTGAAAACTGCGAGCATCCTGTTGGCTAGACAGCTTCATGGCAGGGCTTGGCTCAGTAGAACTGATTTGACAGCAACTGCAAACATCTGACTTCGCGAAAACACAACGTTCGAGAATGCACAACAAACTACCCTAAAGTAGAAGCTATGCAAGCTCACCCAACTGTGACGCAAAGTAAACCCTGAAGCTCAGAGGCGCCTTTCTCTCTGCACAGCAAAGTGCATCTTGAGCCAACGTGTCGTTGGCAAAGTCTCTGGAGCTCTGGGGGACGTGTTATTTTCACAATACATGCATACATGCATACATGCAATCTGCATACGTGCATGCATGCTTACATGCATACATATGCATGTGCATGCCTACATACATGCATACGGGATGCCATCACAGATGCTGTTACTTGAACCCGTGTCATCCAGTGGACGCATTGCACAAAACGCTGTCGTCGGAGCGTGACCGTAATACGCGTTTGAGAAGCAACTGGACTGGACCTCGACAATAGCAGATGCATGATATGCCGTTTAGCATGCATTTGCCGTGCACGTCAGACGGAGAAAAAGACGTATAAACAAGCGAAAGTCAGTACAATGAAGAACACATGCACGTGTGTTGCCGACCCAACCAACTAGACCATCCCCACATTCATTTCAGACGATATCTGCCTGGCTACACAGGCAGGAGCCGGGCCAAAATACCTTGTAGTGAACGGAGCTCAATCAAAAACAAAAACACCCTGAGCGCAGTCTTAGATGAGAGCGATCGTGACATACTGATTGATGAGCCGCTAGAATCGCTAGAATGAACACAAGAGAACTGCACGACCAGACACCGTGAACGAGATGATGCTGAAGATAGTGATGAGAGCGAAAATGAGATGAAAATCCAAATAGTCTTGGTACCACCTATGCCAAGCACCGTCAATTCGTATACGGAAGCTAGATGAATGATCCGGGATAATAGGATCCTGTCTCGGCTGCCAGACACGGAATGGCACACCAAACGAAATGAATGAGTCCCTCAGCTCAGCTGAAGCCCATCGTTGGACGGAGCCCCTCCTCCTGTTTGCAAAACGATGCCGCAAGCACGCCTTAAGTGTGAAACGAGGATAAAGATATACAAAACAACCAGCGAAGTCGTCATTGACCGTCACATACTCTGGCGGTGTACGCATCGCTGCCGCTCGCATGGACTTGCAAAGCATTCAAGAATTTCGTTTTAGACATGCACTCATACTGACAAGTTACCTTCGGACATCGCTGTTGAAATTGTTTGACCTGTACCACGCATGTTAGTTGTCCGAAACCATATTGGTTTCTCGAAGCAGTGGCTGCACAAGGCATAAACTAGTTGCTCAAGGCAGTGGTTATTGCACAAGGCATGTCGGTCAAGGTCACAACTTCAACGTCCCCATGCCTCCTGTGTGGCCGCATCACCGTGTACTTTGGTGTTTAAGATCACACTTAGCGCCATCCACAGGGCTCACGATTCAGCTCATTGGGGCGGGCAGATCGACAGATGTGGACCCGGCCACACACATACACCACAATGATACGGACCCCGAGCTGCCACACAGGGCAGCCCACCCACCAGCGTGTGACGCTGGGCGCGAGATCTCATGACATGCGCCGCCTTCTCACAGGCACTGACGACAGAACCTTCCGCAGCGCAGCGAAACTCTCCAAAATGGTACCGGTGCTTTTGGGGCCACGACTGCAGGTCACTGCGTCAGCACGCAGCAAATGGCCGCTGAGGTCCTAGAGGCGTGCAGCAGTGCAGCCAGGGACGAATCCGATGGCCGTGGCGGCCATGGGCGGGGCCTCCAGCAGCGTCAAAGCCACTTCCCAGTGCTCTTCTCGCGCAGAAGCGGAGATTGCCGAATTGTACACCTCGCTGCGCAGAGCCTCCTATGCTTCGATCTGTTGCTCGAAGCATCTCAGCGCGGATGCCACTGTGTTGGGCTGCCAAATCTGACTCCAGGCATCCTGCACAAGCAAAGTGGCCGCTCTGCTAGTCTAAACTCGTCTACAAACGTCGCCTCAAGCAGCACCAGGACTTGAGGCCACTTGCTGCTCTTCGCGCAGCTCGTCACCACCGCGCAGAGCTGCAGTCGCAACAAGTCAACAAGCAGCCTTCAACCGTCTCTTCAGATCCGAGGTGCTGCTGTGGCATCGGGCACCGGCCCTTCTCGACACATGTCTCTGAAGACCTCAAGATCTCGTCACCCGTCTTTCCGTCTCTCTCTCCGCCTCTGCGTGGCTCGGCCTCGAGGCAGCGGTGCCACTGCTTTCCGGCACCCAGCAGGCGCATCAGCCCCTGACACCAAGCACGCGGAAGCGAGCACGCTTGCTTTCGCGCTCTCCGTCGCTCTCTGTCTCTCTCTCTCTCTCCCTCCCTCCCTCTCTCTCTCCCTCTACTGGGCGTGGGGTCGGTAGCAGTGTCTCTCTCTCTGTCTCTCTGATTCCCTCCCTCTCCCTCCCTCTCTCCCTCTCTCCTTCTCTCCCTCTCTCCCTCTCTCCCTCTCTCCCTCTCTCCCTCTCTCCCTCTCTCCCTCTCTCCCTCTCTCCCTCTCTCCCTCTCTCCCTCTCTCCTCTCTCCTCTCCCTGTCCCTCTCCTCTCTCCTCTCTCCCTCTCTCCCTCTCCTCTCCCTCTCTCCCTCTCTCTCTCTCTCTCTCTCTCTCTCTCTCTTTCTCTCTCTCTCTCTCTCTCTCTCTCTCTCTCTCTCTCTCTCTCCTGGGCTTGAGGGCCGGTCAAGGCCCCCGGGCTTCAAGCCCACCCGATCTTTTATCGGGACGAGAGGCGTGACGAACGAGTGTAGGCATGGATTTAGGCTGCAGCCATAAAGCATCTTCCTCTCTCTCTCTCTCTCTCTCTCTCCCCTCCTCTCTCTCTCTCTTGCTTTGCTTTGCGCTTTGCTCTGGGGCAAGCAGAAAGGGCAGTCCCTTTTCCCCGCTCGTTCTTTTCTTGCTTGCTTGCTTAGGGGTCTGGGCCCAAGCGGACCCTGGCCCGGAGGCCTACCCCCTCAACGGTCCGCAACGTCCGTAGGTCGAAAGGCCCCTTCCGGGGTTGAGAGATGACTCGTTCCCCCACGTGAGCTCGAGTACCCCGTCCCCCAAACCACCAACATCTAAGTTCTTTTCTCTCCCTCCCTCCCTCCCTCCCTCCCTCCCTCCCTCCCTCCCTCTCTCTCTCTCTCTCTCTCTCTCTCGTCGCGGTGGGCGGCGCCGTGCAAGCAATGGCATCCAGGACGAGCGTTGAGTGCTCTTCGAGCACGGAGAGCCTCAGCACCGGCAAAATCCTCCATCCCGGTGCGGAGCTGCCAAGATCTGGGATAGGAGCTCATTTCAAGAGTTACTTGTCGGCGAAGCTCGACTACACCATGGCAAACAATCGGCGTCGCAAAACTCCAATCCTGCTCTGCTCACGAACCCTTCGCGCACCAGTAATACCTGCAAAATGTCTTGGTAGAGCTACGGGAAGGCCCCTTTGGCAAACAGCAAATATTCCCTTTCTTGCTGCTTTCCGAAATCGTGTTCTTAAACTATCCTTTTCGGAATGCAGGCCCAGATGCGCCACATCCCAACGCTGCGAGCTCTCGCACCTGGCCGCAGGGCCGCACCGTGAGAGTGCCGAGGGCGCCGACGGTGTTCCAAGCACATGCCGGGCCAACGCGCGACAGAGGCCACTGCCTCGTCTCCCGGCCCGGCGTGTATTTAGGGGATCGAAGCAGGTGCTTAGCATTAACAATCCTGTCTTCCACCTGAGATTCCCTGTGGCAGTTCGCATTGCTCAAAAAGGAGACCTGCTGTCCATGTTGCCACCCTCTGTTTTTCTTCAGGTATGCGGAACGAGCTTTCCGCCTTCCACTCCTCCCAAAAACTGCTCTCAAGCACATGCGAGTGCGCATGCAGGCATACAATCAGGAACATACCCTACTGCCTGCCTACATGCATGAATGATGCATGAACGCCTACTTACAGATGTATAGGCACGTACATACGTGCATAGGTGCACATGTTCATATGTGCATATGTAATTACCTGCGTCCCTACACATGCATGAATGCATTCTAATCCAACATGATTCGAAAGCCATTCGGATAATTCGGCTTGTTGTTCACCTGGGGGACACAGTTCGTGTTATCACAAGAACCGTAGCCGCCCACGCATTCGCCGTCATACCATACCACTGAACCAGGTCCGGTAACCGATGCCATCCCCACCGCTTCCGAAGAAGGGGATACATGCACGTGCAGCGCGAGGCACAACTGGAAAGATAAGTGTTAAGCCCGCCTTGTCTCGCCTGATTGATGGGTTGTACGATCGTCCAATGCACATGTCGAACATGCCAAATGGTAAGAAAGCCAAAACTATGAGAGAAAACTTGAGAACCTGCCTGAGTGAAAAACAGTGGCCCAATGCCTTTTCCAATCTTGCTGGCACAGGGGCCCAGCTTCTTTGCAGGTACAGGCTCACACGTCTGTGAGCCCATCCAGTCAACATCCGTCGCTTCGTTGGCGTGGCTAAGATGTGACCGCCACGCCCCTTGCAGGGTAAAATCTGAAAAAGGAAAAAACAAAAACATCAAACACAAATCGAAAAAGTCAGAACCCTAAAAGAAGTGATGCAGAACATGTCGCATGTACAGCAGGATCACACAAACATGCCCCATCGGGGCAGCAATGCGACGTCGCTGGTCTTTTTTTTCACATCGAAGTCGGCTATGTTCCTGGTAGTCAGATACTCTCACAGCATCTTGCCCATCTACTCATGAGGCCGGGTGGCACAAAAGTAACTGGCACAAAAGGAGAAAAAGCCAAAATCGGATCAGTATATGTACGGTGACGTCCTCGCTGTCTCAGCTGAAAGGCATTGAGTCACGGAGCAAGTCGTGTATGGTCCCAAATAACCTGCTGTAGCTGTCGCTTGACATCATCTAATATAGTTGCAATCCTCCATTCGAATAAACGCAGTGAGTGCCCGCTCTTGTGTACAGATGTCTGGGGGAACATGTACCTCGACGGACATGCTCAAGGGGGCGGAAATCCTGCCACGCTGGCGGAGCGCTTCATGATTGCTGGACGAGCCAAGAGCACGCTGCAAGTCAAGGCGATGAGACACGGAAAATAAGTGACCTACAAGAAGAACATCAACGACAACATTGCAAAGAGACTTCCGAGATGCCCGCACTCATTGCTGCAATGCACATGTCAGCGTAGATGGTACGATCCGCCAAGTGAGACCGAAAGACCTGACTGAGACCTAGATCTTTCACGAATCTGTGCATCACTCAAGTGTCGAACCGGTCAGCGGTTTGGAGCAATAGGGCGCGTACGTCTTCATGGATCACTCCGAGGCACGTCAGACTCCGCATTAGTGGTGGCTGACTCATCGTCACTTTGCGCAGGCAAAGAAGAAGGGCGAGGAAGAGGGGAGGAAGAGACAGATGGTGTCCGTTCGAAGAAGGAGGAGGAGCAACCACAGGAGGAGAGAGAGAGGAGGAGGAGGAGGAGGAGGAGGAGGAGGAGGAGGAGGAGGAGGAGGAGGAGAGGAGGAGGAGGAGGAAGGAGGAGGAGGAGGAGGAGGAGGAGGAGGGGGAGGAGGAGGGGGGAGGAGGGGGAGGGTGGAGGGAGGGGGAGGGGGGAGGGGGAGGGGGAGGGGGAGGGTGAAACACTGAATGTTACACATCCAGGTGCCTGTCTGTTCCACGTATCACTTGCATGTATCCATGCCTGTTGCTCAAGGTTCCAGTGCAGTGGACTACAGCTGTGCGCCTGTAGCAAAAGAGACACCTGAGTGCCTGTGTCCCTGTACGCCTAGCGAGGGGATACACGTCCAGGTTACATCTCAACGTGGTAGCGGAGCCCCCGGCAAACGGGAAGCTTCACACTTGTGGAGGTACCCGTTCGGTACTCTCTACACAGGTGGAGGCAACCGGAATACCCGGTGTGCTTCACTCAGGTGAAGGTGACCGGAGTCTCTCCGGCACACTTCACTCAGGTGAAGATAACCGGAAGAGGTTTCTCCCGGGGCTCGATCCAAGAACAGCGCAATGGCTAGCCACTCTGCGACTATCTTTGAGCATGAAGGAGGAGATGAAGACTACCTCCTCCACGGAAATGAATCTTTCGCGACTAATCATCGTCATCTCAATGAATTACACCGTCTTTCAGCTTTCCAGCAGGTGACCACCAAAGTACCTCCATCTTATGATGGTAGAAGCAGTTGGTTTGCCTATGAAGATGCGATCGATGACTGGTGTGACATTACTGAGCTAGACAATGATAAGCGTGGACCAGCTTTGAGAAATCGGCTAGAAGGTGAAGCAGCAATCCACAAGAGGCTTCTCGACAGAGATCGCCTGAAGGACCCGAACAACGGAGTGAAGTACTTCAAGAGTTTCCTGCGGCCGCTTTTCGTGAAGGGAGCAGCGAATGTTTCCTCTATCGCTTCCAGCAGTTCATGAACATGCACCGTGGGAATGGAGACATGCTTCGTTGGATTACCAGGTTTCAACTCTCTGTTCAGAGAATGCAAGAAGCGTGGAACGATACCTATCTGCCGATCGAGGACCCGAACAATGCAGAGGTCAGAGCTTTCATAGCAGGACTTCCACCAGAAGAACAAGAAGGAATCACGCCAGTTCAGGCAATGGAGAGAGCCAACGAACGGCTCAGAGAGCAGCATGCTCGGACCATTCCGATCACGGCCAATCTCGTTGCTTTGATTTTTGTCTCTCTGTCCGACTTGACGCAGGATCAGCGGCAGGTGTTGACATCATTGATGGCGCATCGGAACCGAGTTTTAGCTGACTACAATACGACCGAACTGCGTGAGGTCTACCTTGAGATCTTCTGCACGACCAAGACTACCGTCGACAATCCTCTCCTCGCTCCTTCCGGCCACGGTGGCCGCAAGACGTTCCTTGTGATCGATGAAGGATATTTGAACGATCATGAAGGCTACTGGGTCGAGGACGAGGAAGATGGCACAGAAGGTTTTCTCGAAGCGGATGAGGACGCCTTCTGGGTCTACGACGACGAGAACTATTCATGGTTCCAGCGGCGTTTCCAAGGCCGCAAGATGAGGCGCGGATTCAAGGGCCACCGTAAAGGCAAAGGAAAAGGTGGCAAAGGATCCAAAGGAAGGCGCTTCTTCAAAAGGAAGAAAGGCAGGTCACATCTTGCCGAAGAATCAGAAGCATGGCAAGCAGAAGGACAATGGCAAGATTACCAGTGGAACGATCAGTCCTGGGATGACTGGTCCTGGTACGAGTCTGAGGAATCCTATGCAGCCAAAGGAAAAGGAAAGAAAGGAAAGAAGGGCAAAGGAAAGAGCAAGTTTGGCAAGGATGGAAAAGATGGAAAGTCCGGAAAGGACGGACAGAGCCAGCTTGCTGATGCTGCCCCGAGCGGCACCACAGCCGCCACAACCTTCTTCGTTGAACATCTCAACACTCCGAACTTTTCTTTCATGGCCACCGAAGAGAAGATCAATGAGATCGAGGAAGCCTTCATCTCTCAGCCCTTGACGCCGACCGCGATGGTGTTGGACTTGGGATGCACGAGAGCAATGGCTTCGAGAGTGGCCGCACAGGACCTCATGGAGTTCTGTGACAAGAACCAGAACTGTGGCATATGGTACACCATTGCTGAGACCACTTCTCAGTTCACCTTTGCCAATTCCGAGTCTACCAAATGCAACCAGAAGTTGGTCATTTGCATGTACGACCGGGACTTTGCAGTTCAATCCACAGAGTTCGACATTGTGGAACAAGGGCATGTTCCCATTCTCATGTCCTTACCTCAGATGCGCAATCTTCGTTTCCAGTTCGAGCTCCATCCGGAAAAGGCCTTGCTCAGCAGCCCTGTGCTGGGAATCAAGGATGTGAGGCTGAAGGTTGCACCCAGCTCACACTGGTACTTGATCTTCTTGAACTCAGTCAGCTGATGTGGAATGTGCGTTTCAGCAAGCATAAGAAGTCGAGCTTCCTCACCTACTTCTCCCACTACGAGTACGGCTTCCATCAGAAGACCGAGGGATGCTGTTCTCATGAACAGGTACCCGACAATCTCGTGTTGGCGACTGATGATGAATGGGTGATCAACGAAGCCGACATGGAAATGATTCGCATCCACAAGAAGATGAGAAGAGTCAAGTACGAACCCAAGGCGGGTTATGTGCCAATTCCGTTGGAGTATCTGGACACCAAGCGCAAGACGATCATGGAGTTCTCCAAGGGAAAGAGCGTTACTCAAGAAGATGACTGGCGTTCTTCTGAGCTTTCTTCAACAAGAACTACTGACTCTTGGAAAGGCAAGACCATTTTCAAGATTCTGCCTGGTGGCATCGAGAGTAGAACCTCGGTGCCAGCCAAGTCCAAGGATCCAACCCGTGGAAAGGTAGGATCTCCAGAGGACATGGTTAGCGCAGGTAAGCCTGAAGACAGCTCGAAGAACACAGGAGCATCCGGAAGCTTTCCTCAGGGAAAGGCACCGGCAAAGAGAAGGATTCGAGCCAAGGGAAGCTTTCCACAGGGAAAGGCACCCGAGGAACCGGCTCCTCCTCCTCTTGCTCCTGAGGATGATCCGGATCTTCAAGAGTACGAACCTTCCGAACCGGGGGATGCAGATTTGCTTCCTCCGAGTCCTCCGAAGGCCCCAGAGCCACAGTCGCTAGAACCTAGGAGG